TTAGTTTTAGGAAGCAGTTACTTCTGTAATCGAAACTATTAATTCAGTCTTTCTGTAACTAAAATCTCTTTGATTAGATTAATAAAAAAATTATTTTATTAATTTACGATTCTGTATGTTTATCGTTTTAAATTTTATTCAACGAAGTCTTGTTTCTAGGCAATTTAACTCATCACTAACTATCACTTAAAACTGTCTGTCAACTAAATCTTTTTTCATCGATAAGAACAAATTTTGCAGCAATATAGGGTTGCTTGCAGTCATCATAGGTTCCTTGTAACCTTGTAAGCTAAAATGGAAAAGTTTCTATCTCTCCCAACGGAAAAAGTAGGAGAAAAAAAATTCAGCCATTGAATTGCTGACCATCATTTTTTGACTAGTTTTTGCTTAGTTGCCACTGTTGATGTCCTAATCTGGTCGACCATTCTCAATCCCACGAAATCATTTTTTGAAGTTTCATTGATATCTTCTTTTTTAAAGGAAATTAACTTTAATAATTGGATTATCCTGACGTATTTTTCGAATTTTATTCAATTTTCTTTACTTGAGCGATCAATTTAAAATTTAGACTCTCTTTTTTGGTTCTACAGTCAAGGAGATACAAACTAATTTATGCATTTTGATTAATTTTTTTTCTGATCTGTTCAAAAGGCAAGTCATTCATGCCGACACTTGGATATTCATAAAAAATTTATTACTCATAGTCTAACCCAAAAAAATTATCGAAAATAATTTTTTCTTTTTCTTGTTTACTTAAAATGAATATACAGATAATTCACTTCACATATTCATTAAAGAATATTTTTCCTCAATACAACACAACTATGTACACGAGACCTTTATTTCGGGACCTAAGCTAAAATCAAATTGTATGATCGGATCTAAAGAGCCATCGAGTGATATTATCCAAAACATAAAATATTCCTTCTCGCACAGAACGAGATGCATTGTGTTTTTTTCTCTTCTTTCTTGCGAATGGTGCTTCTCTGCTTCATGGCACTGCTATTTTTCTTCCATGCAATCAATAAACTTTGCATAAGACAATAATGAACAAATATCCATTTAATTTATAGAAATTGAATTCTCAACAGATAAAAATAGTAGGTGTAACCTGTGCGTTCAAGCACGATGAAAACTTAAGAGGAATTTTGGTGACTGTTGAATGAGTCTATTTAAAATTATTGGATAAGTTTATTGAAACTTACCCGATTTTATATTATCGATAACAATGATTAAAATTAATTCAACTTTCATTTATTTTGATCAAATGATACAATAAATTTTTTTCTCGATCAAAACCATCTTCTTTTCTATCTTCAATGTCTTTTTTTTTTTTTTTGTCAGCGTCTTGAATGTCAAAAAACTCAATCAATACATTCTTAAGTAATGCTAGACTGATCAAATTTTGGAAACAAATTTAGAGCCCAAATGACATAACAGTTGATTATTTGAAATTTTTATTAGGACTCAAATGACATGACACAAATCAAAGAAGTCAAAGTCAAGTGTCATGTTATTTGAACTTTAAATTTAGTTCCAAAATTTAGTTAATCTAACATTATTGTACATTCTTTAATGTTAAACAACCCATTAAAGTCCGTATCTACATTTTTCTTCTCTCTCCCTTGCTATGAAGCACGGATACAGATATAAAATACGGGTATAATACAATACAGATACGATGATACGACAAAATCTAAAAAAGTATGATACAAGTACGGCCAAGATACAGTTATAATAAAATATTTTTATTATTTTCAACCAACTTAATACTTATATATTTTGGTAGTTTTTTAACATATAATAAGAAAAATTAGTAATTCGTTTTAGTTTCAACAAAATATATATCATATTGTTGTGGTATATTCACAAAGTGAAGTGACTAATTATAAGAATCAAAACTAATATTTACCTAGTATTTAAAATTAATTTTTGCTAAAATTATAATGTAATAGTTTTATTTTATGCTCTTTTTGTTAATGTATTATATGATATGTGAATTCGAAAAAAGATGTTAAAAGTTCAACTAAAAAATTATATATTTTGGTTGACTACAAAAGTATCTGTGAAGTATCATAATATTTAATTATTATCGGATACGTAGAAGGTGTATCCGATACGTGTCCTCAAGTATCGTATCAAATACAGTATCCAATACGGGTACGTCACTCTCAACGAAATATCCGTGCTTTATAGATCCCTTGTGTCTCTCTTATCCTTTGTTCACTTTTTATTTTAAATTACATAATATTTAAAAATTAAAAAATCACCTGATGAATATTTAATTTTTAATATTACAAAATATCTTCAAATAGAAAATTATGGCTAGTATTAATTAATAATATAAAAGAGCTCAAAGCATTGAAAGTGACATTGGGAAAGCTAAGTTAGATCCTGCGGATAGACCCATGACTTATCATGCCAGCTCAGTCCCAGAAGCTTCTATTGGGGTTAAAATGACATCGGGAAGAAGCTTCACGCCACCCCCACTTAAACCCAAGGTCTTTCAAACGGTGCATTATTATTGGCGGAAGACTTCCAAGTATATCTTCTTACATATCCATTATCTGGCCCAAGAAATGTCAAAATCTGATAACAAAAGTTTTCAAATTTTATCAACGGTAGAACATTGAAATTTGCCTTCAAGAAATGAAACAACGTAGGCAGTTGCAAACAAAAGGCTCATTTGATTATCGTATTAGAAATAGATGAATTAGATAAAATAATTTGTTCTAATACAATACAGAAGAACAAAAGACAAGACTAAATATAGTATTAAAAATAATACATAATTTTATCTAGTGTTTGATAATATACAACATAAACGTTAGATAGTAATTATTTAATTCAATCGGTTGTTTGGTTAAGAAATTATTTTATCGTATTAATATTGAATTAACAAAAATACCCTCAATGTTACATTGATGACAGTTTGATTATATAAGTTAGAGAGTTATAATGATAAATGTGTAAAATAATACGTTTGAGTGAGATTATAATATCACCTCTTTTGATGGTATTAAAATACTTACATAATACAAGTTTAACGTATAAAAAATATACGATAAGGATATGATAAATGTATATTTTTGAAATTAATACGGTATCAAATTTACTTACCAAATAAAGTATTAGGTCTGATTAAATAAAAAATAATATAATTAAATATTTAATTCTCTTATAATAAGTTTACCAAACGAGCCCAAAGTTTACTCGCTCGTTGGTGGAAGTGAACGGCAGACTCGAAGACGGAAGAAATGCACTGGCCACTTGCTTTGTTAAAAAACTTAAGCTACCAGTTTACTGTTGAGAGATAGCGAAGAGGATAGATAACTTAAAGATATCAAAGGAAGACATCGGATTATTGTTATCATCTCTATCAAATAATGCTCAACAATACAACCCAACCCAACAAGATTCGTTATAAAGTCCGTTGGTCTTTCTATATAGACTTGTTTAGATTTAAATTTGTTGAAAAAATTTATTTGTTATGAAGTTCATTTTTTGTCAATTTTACCAGACAATCCTTTTCTTTTAAAAGTAAAGTAAAACTAAAAATTAAAAACTCTTAAATCTTAAGAGTTTGACTAACCTTAAAAAATTTTCTCCCTCATATCTATCTATATCCATATATAAATTAGGAATATATATATATATATATAGTAATATTAAAAATAAAAAATAGTGTCATTCAAATACAAAAAAAAAAAATTATCATTTAGACACAAAAAATAATATCATTTAAACACAAAAAAAAATTAACATTTAAACATAAAAAAATAATAACATTCAATATTAATATTTTTAAAAAATAACAATAGTAACGTATTTAACAAAAATAATAACATGTTTAACAGAAACAATAACATGTTTAACAATAATTATCTTTCTCAAATTAAAACACAAAAATAGTAATATTCAAAAAAATAATAATAATAACATTAAAAATTAATATTTAGGAAAATAATAATAATAACATGTTCAATAAAAACAGTAACATGCTCAAAATAATAGTAACATGAACAGTAATATAATAAAAAAAATAATAACATAAAATATTCAATTTAACAAATCAATACTAATTTCAATAAAGTACGAACAGTAACATGAAAAATACACTCAGCACCTAATTTTAAAAACAAAATAAAAAGAACTTTCGATAAATAACGTCGCAATACGAATATCGATAAATAACATTGAATCTCAGTAAAAATTATTAGCATGCTGCCCACGCACTCGAAGACCCCCTATAGTGACGAAGACCACGGTGGTTCCTGATCTTCTTCAATCGATCAAGATCATCCCTTAACTTCATGTCCAGTGCATTGGATGTCACCTGAGAATATTTTCCATCCTTATAATCTTTTTTTCCTATTCAAGAACCAATCAGGGATTTTGAACTGCCGAGTATTTGCGACAATCACCATCAGGTTATCAATCTCAGCAGCAAAAAGTTCGCCGGCCCTCTTGTTCATGTCGACATCGGCTTTCTTGCAGACGACATTGGCGAAACAACGACCGATACCTTTGATGGAGGTCAACGCTGCTTGAAATCACCTTCGAAACTCCCTTCAAAACACAAAAGCTTGTTGTTGGATAGTATAAACATCACCAAATTTTCCTCGATTCAGATTTTGAATTTGAATTGTTAATGAAATCTTTTGATTTGAAATTAAATTAATAAACCAATGATTTTGTCGTAATTCAAGTATCAGATTATGATATATTCAATTTCCATAAAAAAAATGAACAATCTGTTACCATATATATTTCAAACATCTAACATATGACTTTCCATAATAGACCAAATTTAACACTGTTAGAGGTATTGTTGAGATAAAAAAAAAAATAAACTTAAGTCATTACACATAATTTTAAACATGGACTTAACCCCTTATAAGTTTCCTTGCCGAACTCATCTCCAAACAAGTACATCTAGGAGGACACCTCCAATTTTCACTAAAACTTATAGTACAGAAAAAGGAAAAAAAAAAAAACCAAGCCTACAACCTTAGAAAATGCCGAAAAAAGGGCCATGTCTCCAATGCCAGAAGTTACAGTCTCAACGTGTGTTGTTTCTGGTGTTGCTGTCTCTCAAAGTATGAGAAATGCAATTTTATTTCTGCAGATTGTATACTCTGCCTCTCTCTATCACTTTCCAAAGTGCTGCCTTTGCTTCCTCCAATGTTTCAACTGAATGGCCTTCTTCAAATGAGATTCTCTGTATGTTGAACTGCAGAGGAAGAGGGGGGAAGCAGTTAGACACTGGTACAAAGACATGTAGAAAATGCAAAACTAAGACGATTGTTGCAAGGCGAAAGACCTGTGCGCCTTGACGAACTCGAATGTCAGTCCCCTTGCTATCTATTGATATGAGAGCAGCATCATCCACTTCAATTTCCAAGGACAAAAGCTCTTTTAGAGGCTTCGAGAAGACTGCATTGAGCTCCTGCACAGAAAGCAAATTCAACACCAATCGAGCACACAGGATGAGAAATGTTATTCAGTGCAATTAAGTGCTTTGATAAACTTTCGGGCAGTAATCTTATTGCATTATTTCCACGTATACATAAGTGGGGTGTACAGCAACTTACAAACTAACAAGACTGCAGAAAACTCACCTTCAGATTTTGCTCACCTCCATCAACTGCAATCTTGTCAGGTTGAAGGGTTTCGTATTCTTTGACATCAACCCAGGCAACGGTACCAAAGCCCCCAATGAAATATATATCACTGACAAACATACAGACCATAATCAGCTCCTCACTTCAAAAAATGGCTCACCGAGTACACAGTTCAATTGCTAATGAAACAAGGTCATAAAGTAACCTAGATAAAACATAGTTCATTTAAAATTCAATGCTTCATTTAAAATTCAATGCTAGCTGAACGCCCAAACAGAGATATGCATCAGGCACCTAATTGTACAGCTAAGGCATTATTTTATGATATTTCTGTTTGCCAAAGTCTTGAACAAGGCCCCATGCAAACAACAAGAGTTTACAAAAGAAAATATTGTACATAAATTGAGAATTCACACCCAGAGAGGAAAAAAGAATCAACGCATGTTTATATTTAGGAGATAAACCATATTTTGTAGATATTTGTATAATTTGACCATCATTGGGTATATATTTTAAATCATGGACAGACTGCACATTCTCAAAGTACCAGTGATACGTTGAGGTTATGTAGGCATCATGAAAGGCAAAGGTAACTAACCAATCTTTATTTTAAAACATATAAGACCACCTCCAATCCTTACCCTTTTTTAAAATTTTTTTTAAAAAATGGTAAAAAACTTTTAAAAACCTTTATCAATGCTAGACCCATACCCATACCAAAAGAAGGGAAACCCTTTTTCAAACCCAAACCAAGGGAGACCTTTTTTTAAACCCAAATATTTAATAGTGAGATTATACTCTCTTTTAAAGATCCAATGGCCATATTTTACCTTCTTTTAAATTTGGGTTTGTCTTCATTTAAATTTGGGTTTCCCTTCCTTTGAAAAAGGGTTTATCCATTGGAAATGTCTATACCAACTACCAAATCAAGCTTTTTACCCTTTTTTATTCAAATTTTGAGTAAGGGTTTGGGTCTCAATTGGAGATGCTCTAAGGCGATAGCTTTCATCATTTAACTTGCTTGGACAAGGCATTAGAAAAATTATTTCTAGATACAAAGAGAACTTCCACGGATGATAAACATGTATTGTAAGGCATCAATGCAAAAAAAAACCAGTAAAATGCACGTCTTTGGTTGGCATAAGCCCATGATGCTTAAATGGTTGTTGATTAGAATCACTGAAGTCCTTTCATGGCTGGTAAATTTGTGCAACAGGCAGCACCCAAAGTCTTCCTAAATAAGAGGGGTGGGGTCAACTCTTACCCAGCGATATAGAAGGACAATTCATAGGCAACTATATTCTTTGGGTATACATTGGCAAGGGTATCTTGCAATCTCCACGAGTTTATTGGCCAACTTCTATGGATAAATGTAGTTTTATTTGCAAAGCCAAAACTCAAGTATGAATTTTTTATGCTAAACAAAGAAAGTTTGGAACTGGATTACTGGTCCTTGTATATTGTAAATAGAGCACATTCATTAACTCCACCATTAAAGAAGAAAAGAGTAAACCTTATATTCTGCATCCTAAAATAGTAGAAGTTCCCCCACTGCTGAGAAGGCCCTTGTTGATGTTTTGCTATGTACTGCTTATGAGCCCATTCCTAGGATACCACCATACATTATGACAAATATCAGCAACTTAACAACAATGACGTTGAAGGCAGTTTTAAATGCATACAATATCTATCATCACAACTCTTGTATTCCCCCCATATACCACCTGAAAGAAGATGAATTGGGATGCTGACATATAGGCCATAAGACCAGACAAACGGGAACAGGCATAAGTGTTTGACAAATTCAGAGAGAAATTTTTTGATGTATAATGGCACTTTTCAAATAGCCACATGCTGAAAAATGGATCCAAATCAGAGTTCTAGAACCATGTGTCTCGTCCCCAGAGGAAATACAAGAATTTCACACGACTCTCAATAATATTATATGTTTCATTTACATATCTGACAAGATAGGAACCTGCTGATCTTCTGGGAGGGGGAAGACATCGCCAAAAATTGTCACCCTTGCATTTGATAAGCCACTCCATCCAGGTATCTAAGAAGCCCAACTGTTAATAAATTTGATAGATAGAAAACTTGTAGCTCAAGCATTGCAAATTTGTGCGGGTGGAAAAAAAAAAAGGCACTAACCTGAACAACCAGCGTGCATCTTGGGTCAGCCAACAAATTTCTCGTGTGTATAGCCAGTGGTGAAAATGAAAATAATGGATCTGCACATAAAGACATGACCAAATCATGTCAGAAAGCCAGTCCATGCCAAGTGTTTTATCCCTTTTGGAACAATAGTCTGCTGCTAACTTCCACATGATATGCACAAGTGCAAACATGTGGGGAAAATTGCTCATGCAATGAATGGTATTAGGAGCTTATGCCAAAGTTAACACCCCTCCCTGCTTCTTTTTTGATAATTACCAAAATCCCAACATAATAACAATAATCCAAAAACTACAGACTCTGTGCATATGTAACACTTCTCTGTTCATACGAAAGAAAACTGTCATGTTTAATTAAGTTCATGTCCATGTCCAATAAGGACCTCAACATAATCAGCGAATCATTCATAGACCACCATAAACTAAACACTATATAATGCCATAACATTCAAGCAAAGAGGACCAATAAGACAGTCAACAAAGAGAAGCATATACTGATATTCCGGTGACTTACGTCCCATTGAATCTGGTGCAAAATCCACCAGAGTACCAAAAGGGTATCCTTCTCGTCGGTGTTGCATCCGAGACATCACAGTGCATAGATGAGCAAATCTAGCCTTCAATTAAAAAATAGAGAAGGGAAAAGGCAGAAAGCATATTCATTGAAGTAGCAAATATATATGAGGTCACTAATCTCCATAAAAATCACAATCAAATTGCGAAAACAGAATAATAAATATCACCTGTTCCATTAGATTTCTGACCGCTAAGGCTGGTCTTGGTAAACCATGAGCTGAGGTCGCACTTTGCACTCCCCCAGATATTGGAGTTCTAAAAAGCCCAGCCCTTGTGCTCCCCCCTGTTCCACTTCCATATGTGACCACAAGAGGTGTCACGATGTTTGATGTTTTATCCACATTCTTGTCACAACTTTGGTTGTGATCTAAATTACCCTTCAAAAAAAGAGAGGGACCATCACACCAAAGTTGAAGCAGACATTTGAAACAACCATTCATGGACTATATCATGGAAAGAGGATGTTTTATTTCTTATGAAACAGAAAGTAAAAGCATCAGTACTCTGATCTCCAGAAATTTACGCTGGCGTGAATTCAACACAAGTTATGGAGGCCCAAGTAAATAACAACTGCAATTTCAGGGACTACAACACAAAACAGGCATACTCATCATAATGTTGGATTGTGTATAATAAATAGAACAATGGAGAGTAAGCAGTGCATGAAGAAAGGCATAAATTTTAAGCCTGAGTTTTATGATACAGATTGGAAAACTGTCAAAATTGACAAAGTGGTAAAGGACATGGCTAGCCAGGTAAGGTGTTGGATGGTTAAACCACAGACTGTTTGACTGACTAGTGATCCATAAGCAGAAATTTCCTGCATAACAAAATTAAGAAACCTCGCCGAGTGGAATCATATGTACAACCGAGAGGACCATCAATAGATGCTTAGGGTCACAAAATAGTTGATAATTAAGTCATCTGTTATGAAGCCAACCATTGATCCAAAAGCCCCAATCATAACTATTTGAACATAATATTTCACCATGCTCAGAGTTGACATCAACGGTACGTAATATTTCACCATAATCATAGTTGACATCTACGGCAGGCCACTCTATCGACACTGGCCCAACCGTAACCATAACCCTTTTTCTTTGGTGGCTCCACTCGCCTACCAATATTCAATATCATAGTAATACTAATGTATTTTAATTCACCCTATAGGTCGCACCTTCCGTGAACTCGTGACGTGTTACTGATACCAATTGTTATGAATTCAACAGTTGATCCAAACGTCCTAGTGCTTATGGGGTTAGAACTCATAACTATTTGATCGCAATATCATCTTTCAATGAGCTAAACATTTTTTGTTTTTTTCGTTTTCCTTCAAAATAGGGGCACCATCAAAAAGAGTAACGCATCACATTATAGAAATATGATAAGAGAAGTACCAGAGAAAAAAGCATCGCTTCTTCAGAATTTAAGTTAAAACCAATCTCTTTCCCAAACCGACTGTCTTGCTCACCTTCGTCGGATACTTCACGGGCGAGGGCCAGAACTCGGCACCCACCAGCTGACGACGTAGTATTCCGAAAATTGGGATTAATTTTTCGACACCCAATACGCTTTTCTGGTTTTTTGATCGATTGAAGTATAGGGTATGTCTCTGAGAACTTTGGGACTAAAGCAGAGCTTGAAAAGGCTTCCATGGAGGATTGAGAGAAAGATAGAAAAGACATAGAGACAGGAAGAGAAAAGCAGGAGCTATACGTTAAAGGCATATTGCAGTAGGGGATTGCGGAGTACGGTTTGGCTCTGTGACCATTGCTGACGAAGAAAAGCTTTGGAAGCTTTTTTTTGCTGCGGCGAGTGAGGTTTTCACTGTTTGGAAGAGAAGAATTTTTCGCAAGGGAAAGGTTTGATCGGGAAGAGAGGGAGAGAGAGAGAGTGCTTTGGAGTCAGTAGATTAGCTTCGAAGTGAGTGGGGAAAGGAAGTGGCCCAAGGAAACCCGGGCGGCCCTATCTCCTTAGAGAAGGCCCAAACCACGGTAATGGGCCCACACACTATACAACAGCCGTTGAAGCCCATTTAGAGCTGACAAATATTCAAAATATGAAATTAAAAAATCAAAGTTAAAAATACTCTTAAAATAATTTAAAATGTGTAAAAATCGGTTTTTCCTTGAAAATCCTTGAATAAATCCCATTTTTCAACATTTTATTTTTGATGATAAAAATTATTTTTGCCCAAAAAACTTATGAAAAATCAGCTTAATAAGCTCGAGTCCAAACAAATCAAACTTCTTTTCCTCTTAAAGTAAAAAGAAAAACTGAAATTAATATATATATTTGTAATAGTATAGTAAAAATCCTTTTGAGTTTATTTATTTTTTTAATAATTTAATAATACTATTGTGACATAATTTTTTTTTTTTTGTCAAAACATAATTTATTGACTTAATCTATAATAACTATTAAATGGATAATAGGGCCTAACAAATACAAACACTCGCCTTCAATCCAATAATTATTAGTGATTAGATTAATAAATTAGATTCAAGTAAAACAGTGATCCAAATTATTTTCCAAGAAAAGAGAAAGAAAATGTAAATGCCATAATATATATCCATGAGAAGAATTACTTATATCATTTGGTGTGCATGACAAAGTCCCATTTAGTAATAAATAAATAAATAAAAAAGATGTAAGAAGCTTGAGAACATTGGGCTGCTCAGTCCAAGTATAGTAAAAGCATTCCATGTGGACCTATTAAGTAGACAGGGCCATCAGTCTAAGGTGCATGGTACCAGCCACGAGGTTCTTAGGCAGATGGTATTACATATGTTATTATAATAAGGAGCCTTTCTTCCATGAATCATATATGACATAGTTTTAGTTTACTTATTAAAAAAATATTTAATCTAATTAATTCTTCATACTTGAGCTTGAGTAACGAAATTGAACTCTTACTGGCTCACTATCCTATATTATTTTTTTTAATGGTCAAGGATATTGTCAGTTTGTACATATTTCGATTAATTTTTTTTTTTAATCAAATCAAATAAATTCCATTTTTGATAAAATTAAAAAATTCATATATATTTAAGGTTATAACTCGTTCCTGTTCGCCTCTGTCCCTTGGATTCACTGTCCTACATTTGTGGGCATCAACAGTGCATTCCACAGTGCCAGCCATGACCAGTATATTAAACAAAGAGAATGATGAACTAAACAGAACCGCATTCTAGTTTTTAGTGTTTTGATCCAAGAAACTAAAAATTCAACCGATCCTGATACCCCAACAGTCTTACCAAGAAAAAATGATACCCTCCCCAACCAACCAATGAGGCAGTGACCAAACTGCAGGAAAAACTATGAAAATTTTGGAGCAGAGGAAAGGTCACCACCTCTCTCTCTCTCTCTCTCTCTCTCTCTCTCTCTCGTGCGTTGTCTGAGTCCTTTTGTCATTGAATGGGCCAGAAACATTGACGTTTTGATTTCTTTACCTTGTTTTGAACGGACTCAAAGATTTGAATAATCAATCTTTTGTTGTTTTTTTGCTTTCAGTTGAAGATTTCTAGCTAGGTAATATCTTCCCCAGTTTACAATAATACCATCTTCACAGCTCAATTTTCTCCCACATTTTTTTCTTTCCTATTGATTTCTTCTTTGCTGTTTCTCTCATTCATCATACTTAATCCAATCTGTCCATATCTCTTCTCTACTGTTCCAAAACAAGAAGGGTTTTGATTGATTGCCCTTTTGTCACAACGCCCCTTTCAGTTTCAGTTCTTGATGATTTTGTAGACATAAAACCACACAGATGAAGATCTCTATATTTCCCTCTTGGGTTTTGGGTCATCGTCTTTGGTTTTTGGTTTTTGCCTTAAGTCTAGCACTATTGGGTGCCTGGTCAAAATTTTATATTCAAGATAGAAATTATAGAACAGATCAAGAGCTTTCGATTTCAAAGAGGCTTCCCTCAAAAGGGCCTGACGACCCTCCTGTACTGGCCTATTGGGTTTTTGGATCTTATGGAGAAAGTAGGAAGATTTTGAGGCTGTTGAAGGCAATATATCATCCAAGGAATCAGTACCTTCTTCAACTTGATGCTGAGGCTTCAGATTATGAAAGGAGTAATTTAGCTATTTCAGTTCAATCTGAGAGAGTGTTCAGAGCATTTGGGAATGTTAATGTTGTTGGGAGAAGCTATGCTTTGAATCAGATGGGGGCATCTGTTCTTGCTGCCACACTTCATGCAGCTGCATTGTTGCTTAAGATTAGTGCAGATTGGGATTGGTTCATCACCTTAAGCTCCTCTGATTATCCTCTCATGACTCAGGATGGTAAAATTGCTGCTACTTTTTATATCCTCTATACTGTCGGGGGATTTTAATCTTGAACATGATTTTCCAAAATTAATTTTAAAAGAATTTCAATTATGCCCCATGATGTGAACTGTGTTGATTGAAATAGGAAATGGTTTGCCACCATTTGAGATTGCAGCATTTGTTGATCCTTTGCATTTCCTTGCTGATGTTTTTATAATTGTACTCAAATTTCTTCATGCTGAATTCATTCTATATGCATGTTGTTATGAACTTTGTCTAAAGATTTCTCAACAACAAAGATTATTTTGGTCAGTAAAAAGATAAATGTAGAGCTATCAAACTTTGGATATTATACTAGCCATTGTTTCCTTCATATCGCTATAAAAAAACACCCTTGTAATATTACTTCTGATGACAATGCAAACGTCTTCTATTCATATGCAGATGTCCTCCATGCTTTCAGTCTGTTGCCCCGGGATCTCAATTTTGTCAATTACACGACCAGCACTGAATGGAAGAAGTAAGCGCAAGCCATGCCTGATTAGCTGTTTAAGGCAATGCCTGTATCCAACATGCAGGGCTAGCTTAGTTTACTTGAAGGGGAAAACCTATATAACTGGATTGGTTCGTTCTTCTTAGAGCAGCGCTAAAAATAGCGAGTCCAACATCCCTGCATGTTTACAATTAAGATAACATTACCAGGCACCTTAAACTTTTCAGTTTACCAATTCATCACATTATTTTTCGTTTGAATTTACATTTCAAAATGATTTTGTGCAGGCAGCATAATACTAATCAGATCGTTGTAGACCCCAGCCTTCATCTTAAAACAAACAGTCCAATTTTCTATGCTGTAGAGACTAGAGAAACACCAGAGGCATTCCAAGTTTTTGGAGGTGAGTTTCCTTGTAGAGATCAAGTAAGTCAGGAAAATTAACCATAAAAAATGAAGGAATTGTTGTTTATTTGATCAATTTGCTATAATTGCTGAATCTGCCATTGTTGAATTACATGCAGTTGTGTTAAATTGGCTATTCTTAATCACAAATGGATGTAGTTTAGTGCCTATTTCATATGTTTAGATGGTAATTTCCGATTTTGATCTTTTGACAAGCAGGTTCACCTTGGATGATTCTAAGCAGAGCCTTCATGGAGCATTGTGTAAATGGATGGGAAGACAACCTTCCCAGGAAGTTACTAATGTACTTCAGCAATGTTGCCTTTCCTCTTGAATCCTACTTCCACACAGTCCTCTGCAACTCACCTCAGTTCCAAAACACAACAGTGAACAATGACTTAAGGTACATCAACTGGGACACAACTAAAGGGGAACCTGCTGTACTGAGCATGTCAAACTATGATGAAATAGTATCGAGCGAGGCAGTTTTCGTGAGACCCTTCAAAGAAGATGATCCAGTGCTACAAGAGCTTGATGACAAGGTCCTAAACCGCAAACCAAACTGGGTATTGCCTGGAAAATGGTGCATAAATCAGGGGATGAATATGAGCATGGACAGTTCAAAGGCGGCTGAGGAAGATTTGTGTTCAACTTGGGGTGATATCAACTTGGTCAGGCCAGGGTCCCATGGGATGAAACTTGGGAAATTTTTGTCAAAGCTTGTTGCAGATAAGAGATTGGTGCCTAACCATTGCCACAGCAGTGAAACATAAAAGAAAACTGCAAAAGAATGCCTTGTAAAAATGTAAAGAGAATATGTCCAAAAAATCCCTTGAAGGGTTAAACCATTCCTTTTTCTGCAAACCTGTAGTCATATTGGAAATTTCTTTGGTGGGGAATGAGTCATACAATTAGAATCTTTGGGCAATAGAGAGATGGGTAAAGAAAATTATGTCAATGGCTAGGAATTTTTGTTTCTTTGTTAGCAAGATATCTCCCTGGTGAAGGTGTTTTGCTAACGATGTGCAAGATCATGGAATAAAGTAACACAGATTTTCTTACTGCCACTGAATAAATAGAGTTGTGATTTGGAATATTTTTTTATATATTACACTCCGATTTGCACCAGTCGTACCGCGGAATTCAAATTTTCTTTAATACTCTTTTTTCTTTCTTTTTCTTTTAGTTGACTATTAAGGGTGGTAATTTTTTATATAACATAAAAACGCGATTCAAAATTAGCACGAAATTAGCGGGTTAGGATTAATCATTTTTCGATAGGAACCTGTATATTATAATGGAGAGCAATAGACTGAAAAAAAAATAGATATTTGTCCAAACTCGAGCTTATTTGAACTAAAGATAGACCGTACGTATTGAACAATAAATATATGTAGAGATACTTGTATAAACTCGTGCGGGAATGGACTAATACTCATTCTCACCTCTCCCATCCCCATGAACCTATATATATTATAACAAATAAAATAACTAAGTAAAATTTGTTATACGTATTATTTTTGTGAGTTTTTATGTTTGATTCATTTGTTATATAATGAATTTTTATTCTTCTTGTAAATTAATTTGTGAGGTTTTATGATTTTTTTATTAAAATTATAACAATTAATTGTTATGAGAGAGGACAATGGCAAGGATGGAGACAAGGATTAAAATTTACCCGTAAGATGAAAACACAAATTAAAATTTCTTCTGCTAGCAGGAATGGATTAGGGATAAACAAATATTTTTGAAATAGGTACGAGGGTGAAGACTACTCCCCCCACCTTTGTCCCGGTCCACTGTCATTCCTATATATGATTAGGACAGTTCACACAAATAATATTAGTGGGAGATGTATTTATAAATAAAGAATTTCAATTCAATGGATGTTAAGTGTTATTCCTGGTGACCTTTGGAGTGCAATATAATAGGAATGTGATATTATTGCAGATTAGCTGGTCTACCGTTGCACTTAGTCTTAAAGTATACAACTAACATATTTAAAACTAATTAAGAGAAACTTATGGTTGAAATCAGCCCATATATATGTACAAGGTCGCCAAGAATCTTAAAGAGCATGCAACTGGGGACCCCTCTCTCTCCATAGATTATTCCAACAACTTTAAACAGCATCCACAACCACCCCCAACCCCCAACCCAAACCACCCTTCTCAGAGCCTCAAGTCCCATGCACCCAGGCGCATTCAGTCCTCTCATTATTATTTTTTTGCTGTTTAAAAAAAAGGAAGTGTGGGTAATAATTCTGAGCGTGATCCCAAGCTTCCTCCACTATAAAATATTTAATTTGAGTCAAAATTATTGGTTCAAAAAAATAGTTAATTATAACAATACTACTAAAATCAAGTAATAAATCACATTATTTTTGTGAATCAACCCCTTCTCGATAGTCTTATGGGAGTCAAAGACAGTCTTAAATGGTTACGACCTACCACTATACTGCCGACTCGTGTGATTCAGCCCTCTCATTAGAGTTTTCTATACGTTAGCCTCATTTATCGTTTCTTTGTTTATTATCAATTTCGTCGAAGACTCATGTCTTTTGGTCGTCCTCCATGCACGGTTGGATTTTAACACTGTAAAAGCCCAAAACACACGTTAAAATTTCCTAACAAATTGAAAAAGACACAGAAGTTTTTTTTTTTTTTTTTTTTTTTTATGACATTCCCTCCGTTCTTAAGGATATGTCGTTTAAGATTTTTGCACAGAGATTAAAGAAACTATTAAATAGCTTTAATAAGAGTAAAAAATAATTATACAAAATTAAAATATTTTTATTTAATACGTATTAAAAAAAAGGAATATAAAAAATATTTAACCTCCATCAAATCTAATGCATTAAAAAATTAAGAATAAATTTTAAAAAAAATATATTAATTATGTTATAATTTTATTAAACGATAGATATTATAAAATAAAAAAATTATGTAAAACAATAAATATTTAAGAACTAATGAAATATAAGAATCGAAAAATGAAATATAAGAATCGAAAAATCCATCCTCGCTTGTACAAGAAAAGTGGGTAAGAAGCTACGTATTCCTAAACTAATCTCTTTCTATTTCTCACTTCACTTAAAAACAGATTATCCAGAAAACTAAAGTATTCATATAATAAACCTCTCATCTTTCAAGACCACAACCACCCAGAGGGAAAAAAAACACTTCCAAGAAACTTAAGGGATGTTCAAACCATAATCCATTTCAATTTTCAAGTGTACAGCCGTTTCAAACCCAATGAAAAAAATCCTAACTTCTTGCAAAACTATTGGCAGAATTCCAAAAATAAAACAAAACCAAATTATTAAGATAAATAATAAACCTAGCCGCCATCATCAAACAGCATGAAGCATGGGCGGCTCAAGTCGAGCATTCAGCCCAGCCTTCCTCTTCTTCATGGCGTCGTGGCTTTCTCACTTTCAACACACGAGCGAGCTTCGACTCGGCGGCCAATATGAGCTTAGCCGGCACGCCGGAGATCTCCTCAAGCCTCTTCAGAACCTGCCACGTGGACGCCGATCTGTCACCGCACAGTTTCAGACAGAACCACAGCGACGCCGCCAGGCGCACACGGAAGGGTAAAACCGTCAACTTCTCCGAAAAAACCCCAAACGCGTCGCTGGACATCTTTACTACGTCCACATCACCACCAAGTCCAAGTTTTCTGCACCACGTTCCGAAAATACCCTCTGCCTTCGAGTCCACATTCGACTGACGACGGCTCCTTATGACCTTCGTTGTCACTTCACTTTTCATCGTTGTCCCCGACGTAACTTCACCGGAAAATCTCACCGAAGCTTTCAAGTGTTCTCCGGAAACTTTGCTGTCGAACTTGATCTTCTTCGGAGGAGTGGCGCAGGACTCCGTGCTGGAGATACAAACCGAAGACGAATACGATGATTCAAGTTCGTCTCCGGGAGAATCAGGTAAGCACGATTGGCAGATCGCACGGTACGGGCGTATTCCGACGCCGGAGATGCGATCGCCGGCAAAATTTTTGCATACGGAGCAAATAGTGCGGCGGAAGTGGCGAGCTACCAGGAAGTTATGCTCGTGAACCTTAGTATCACAGTTCCAGCACAGAAATGCAGAATCTGATGAACAATACAGAGCAGCTTCTCCACTACACAGCTCACAAACCCTATCTTTCATTGTTCAAAACAGAGTTTCCTTCTCTCCCAAGCTCTTGTGGAAAGAGGACCTCGAAACTTTAAATAATGACAGTTAATTACCAATACAAGTAACACTAGGATTTCGGCGAGAATCGAAGGTTTCCGGCGATCAAAAATTGCCCTGAAAACTAGAAGAATCTCAAGCTTAAAACTACGTACCACGGATGTAAGTGGATTGATTTTGGAACAAATACAGATCACAAGTGAAAAGGAGCATATGTGGTTTGATAGCAAGATCGCGGATTTCGAGAGAGAAAAAATGGTGCAGAATGTGGAAAATATGTGGTGTAAATATGATCCTTCAAAAAGATCGCAGAAAAATTAGGGATTCAATTGGTTTCCATTGGACGTACGTACTATACAGAGGAGAGAGAAGATCTTGAGAGAGAGAATCCAGGACAGAAAGAGGAAAAGATTGGTGGATGAGGGAGGGAGAGAGAGGCGGTGAGGGGAAAATAAAATGGAAGAGTAGGTGGTGTATTTGTAATTGACTTTGTGGAAGGGAATGGAAGAAAGAAAAGGAAGGAGCGGTGAGTAAAGACCAATAGTCACTGCCTCTAGCTTCATATACATTCTCTAGCGCCATCCCTGTCCACAGAACCTAGGTTCCCTCGAACAACTCAAAAGTCCTTTTTCTCTTTGTTTTTTGCATCCATGTCCCTGTTGTTCTTTAATTTTATCTTAAAGCCTCGTTATAGTTTTTTTTTTAATCGCTAAGTAGCAAATTCATCATATTTCAATGTTATTTTGAAAACATCAGATTATTAGATACATGTGGAGAGAAAGGGATATGGCATTCAAGGGTTAACAGCTGTGTGGTCCTTATTCAGCCAGAAGTACGAAATTAATTTCCACACAATGGATGACTTAGTTCCTTTCTATTATAAACAATATTCTTTGATTTGGCACAGGGCAAAAATTTTTTTTCACTTTGCTAAGTCATAGAAACGATATTGGAACTCTAAAATCCATTTTTAGTATTTTGAAAATGTAAAATTATGTGATATTATTTAGAGAGCCAAGTATCAATATCTTTAATAAAAAACAACAAATAGAATAGTGAAAAAATTAAACAACTTCGTTCAATAATGCATAATTTTGTATCTTTTTATTGACCACAACAGAAATAACTATACTGGTTGGGCGATGACACAATACATTATATGACCCTCGTATGAAAAGCTCACCAAACTTCTTTGGACTACATAGAATGAATTACTATCAGATTGGATATGCCTATAGCTAAAAGAGAGTATAATGAACCATAAGAGAAGGACGATAATATTTGCCAACATCCAATTAATTGCAAAAAACATAGTAGAACCATGTAACTTATGTTGGGCAAAAAATACTAATCAACTTATCTCAATAAAATAGAATTTTGTAGCATTATATGGAGAGCCAATATCATCTATTACTATTAGAAAGAGAGATGGTGGAATTTTGGCATTTACTCATAAAAACACTTGTATTGACTTTTATTTCTTCTTACTTCTTTTTTAACGCAATATAACTATCTTCACTCATAAAATATCAGTATTATTATCCGTATATTTCTAGATAATCGCACCTTATCTTTTAAAACTCATTCAACTGCGAAGACTCTCTTTAATTTCTTCTTACTCCTTTTTCAAAGGGATAATCGTGTGTATTAAAAGTGGGAAAGATTGAACAACTTATTTATTTTTAACTGCAAACATTTTACAACTGATGATATTTTCAAAAGAATTTTGGGGTGAAAATGAAAGAAACGTAAAATTATGGGTGGTATTTCAAAATATTCATAATTATAAGGTGCAATAAAAGAAAATTGATGCATTATATAGGGGTATTATTGTTACTGAAAAAGACAGAAAATATAAAAGTAATTTATATGTGGTAGGCTTGGAAAATATCTTCGTCAACCAACATCAGAAGAGAGTATCAAAAACTCACCCAACAGCTTGTCCAGAAACTGAAGTGACCCTCAGAATATCAACACGTGGCAGAATGACCATGTCAGCATAATATGCCACGCGTCAGGAGTCCACGACACAAAACAGTGAGTCGATTTATTTACTTCCAAATATGCCCTTGGCGCAAACCACTGAGGTCAAGAAAAAAATTACATCGTTGGGCTTGATCACGAGGATCATGGTTGTGAAATGTTCAATTTAAACTATAACTACTAATTTAAAAGAATAATCTATCACCACAATATCATCAAAATCAAGCAATGAGTGAAAAAAAATTTTAATAAACCATATGATAGACTAGAACGAACTTTAAAGGAGTATGACTTACCGTTAGTTAACAAATTCGAATGATAAACTAATTTAATCACTTAAATTGCCATGAAAGATCAATAAGTATAAAATAATATTTTTCTTCCAAAATTAAATGTTGTGAAATTGATTTCCATTTTATGAATTGACAGTTTATTCATAAAAGGATATCCCTCAAAATAGACAAGCAACTTAGAATAAAGACTCTCGTTGAAATGCCGAAAATATATGTTTTTGTACAGCATCTCCAATTTTTTTAGTCAATAACGTGTCACGTGTATAATTTTTTATTTTATAATTTTATAATTTTTTGATTTTTTAATTAATAGTTATAAATCATCCACCATAAAATTAATAGCTTAGATTAATAGTGATACAACATAGCCTTGCCATATAGTAAAATATAGTGTAATTTTAAAATTACGAGGATTTTTATTACAAATGTTTAAAAGTACAATTATGGTTCTAATTTTTTTTTATGAAAAATGAAAGAAAAATATTAATTGTACCTAATAAGGTACTTAATTTGGATACTTAATGAATTACAACTATAAAATTAAGAGTACATTTCATCTAATATTATAATTTATATTTAATTTAATGATTATATTAAATTAAATTGTTGTTTATTTGCTCAAAATGAAATGGCCAAGGATGAGACAGATACCATGCTCTTATTAAGGGTAATCTGGTAATTGTCAGAACTAGGATTTATTCTTGTGGCTGTGATTGTACTGGACTACGTTCAATGTGCAAAAGCAAGGGTTGAGAGACGTTTGCGTAAAAGTCTCATCAAAGTAAAATTTTCAGCAAACGGTGACGGGGCAGAATCTACACCTACCGTTAGTTGATTTTTTTATTTATTTATTACTATTAAACAACCACGCTCGACAAGTAACGAACCTCATCACCACACAACGAGAATATTGATTTTTTAATTAAACCAAGTCGTACTCGACACGTGTCCCTGACAACACGGTGGTGGTTTCAGGCGGCTGAAATTAGACCACGAATTGCCCGGCGGCAGTTGTGCACGAGAATGGTTTGACACTGGGTGCACACCAGAATTGAAGTGATTTTTGTGGGCCCTCACAACGCCCCCCCCCCCCCCGGCCCGCCCTCTTCTTAAAAATCTTCTTGTATATATTTTCATGCAAATATAAAATTTTAATAAATTTATTTAGTGGTATTAAATAAATTTATTCAACAATTACTAATATTCCTCTCAAAATCTCCTCTCTCTACGATATTTCCTCCTCATTTTTTTAAATTAATCGATTGATTTACGTTATATCGTACTTTTAGACACGAGTTACCTCTAACATACACTTAATTTAAAAATTTAATTTAATATAATTATTAAATTAATATGCCACACAATTTAAATAGAATCTAAAAATTATAACTTAAACGCATATCATCTCTTAGATGAGTTTTATTGAAAAAGTTAATAACACTTATTCATCCAAAAAATGATATATATTTGAATTATAATTTTTAAAATTGTGTAGCATTACTCGAATTCTAATATTAGATGAAATTCGCTTTCAATCCAATGATTACATTGGATTAGCTCCGCATATTATTTTCATATTTGCTATTCAATTTATTCTTTCTTGATAGTAAAATCCATTGCATATTAGGCAGTGAGATATTCTCTAATATATTTTTTTATTTGACTTTATTCGTGGTGACTCACCTATTATATATTTAAGTGAGTCCTCGCTCATTAATGACAGATAATCTGTCAAAAAAATGAATTAAAATAGATTTGAATCTGCATACAAGTGATTCATCTATTCATTAATAATGAATAAATCACAAAAAAAAAATAAAAATATGTATATATTAGAGGTGATTCAAGTTCGACTCTACTATCCTATGTATGCATACTACACATTTGTCTTGCGGTTGCTTGCAGCTGCGGATTACTTTGGGTAGCATGGATGGGTGAGGATCCTCTGCTGATAGAAAATTAACTACAAAGATATTATTAATTAAAACAATGTCGTTAGTGTCATTTTAATCAACAGAACATCTGCTATTAAAAATTAATAGTAGAGGAGTCGGAGCCGGGCCCAGCATTGATTGGTTAATGCATATGAGGTTGAGAAGATTATACGTTCAACAATAATTTTTTTATTTGATCAAAATATAGAGGAGCGACCAATTAGTAGTAACCATTAATATCGTATAGTTATAAATTCTAATTTGGTGGATTTGATACTGAATGAGAGTATAGGTGATGCCAGCCACGTGTTTAAACTTGAAGGAAGGACAAAATGATTATGGTTAGGGATGGAGATATGAGTGGATCAAAACGATAAAGTAGGAGTATTATGAATATTTCTAGAGTGGACACAAACCCCTCTGTATCCTTTTATTAGTAGGGATAGTTTGATGAAAGATTTATTTATTTATTTGGCAGAGGAAAAACTTTCGGATATTTGTAGTTTGACTTACGTTGATGACTCTCGAGTTCAACTAATAACTATTATAGTAAATAATTGCAAGTATCTCGAGGTTACTCTACATAAATGGATTCAACATATCTACTTTTGAAATATTTTAAAAAATTTAGGACTAAACACGACGTAAAATTAGTTAAACACGAATTATATGAAGATATCACATATAATTTGAATTGTTTATACATAATTATGTATACATCAAATAAAGAACGAATAATTGTTGGCGCCACTTAAGTTTTTTTATTTGTTAGATCAACGGTTAGGGGTGTTTTGGGTTAATTTAAGAATACTTTAATTAATTCAATTTTCAGTCCGATCAAAAATAAATCATCTACGCCAAGATTAAGATATTCATGAGAGATAAATTTTTCATAACCTGATCTCAAAAAATTATAAAAATTTAAATTAAAAAACAACTAAATTTATAACTCGACTCTATTATCACCGTTGGGATTACAAAGCTTAAGTTGGACACCACGCATAATATGGCCACCTCTAACCACAAGGCAAAGGTGTATTGTTAACGTAGGTTTTGGAAATATCTTCTGACAAATTGATTTGTCAGTCGCTCACGCAAACGGAAGGAAGCGTGAGGAGTTGAAAAATACAACTTGATAATGAAGTCTCCTCTGTATTTCAGCAGGGACAAGAGGAATCGTAAATTCAGCTATTTTAAGTTTAAAATTTAATAATTTTTGGGGGCGGTTAGATTATAAAGTATTTATTCTTTTTAAATTTTTTGATTTCAATATGAATTGTCTAATCAAATTATAGATAAACTGATGTAATATAAAAACA